CAGTGCGAAGTGCTGGCGCTCTTTGTTTCGATGCAAGGCAAGTCGCGAATATGGACAGTGACAAAGGACCAACGACTTTCGGAGTTGTTTTGACACGCATTTCTCCTTTTGTGACCCGTGATGCATAAGTATTGTGGGCCCAGACCAATGATGGCCTTCTCAAGCTGGTCCCAGGTCTTCTCCCTTAGGTACCTATGCCATTTTGCTTCGTCAAACCTCCACGGAATTCTCCTCGTTCCGTCGTCTGGCTTGAACCAACACTGATGCTTGGCGTCGAAAGCCCACTCCGGATGTTCGACCCAGCATAATGATGCCTGAGCGAGCACTCAGCTCGGCCAACGAAACCACTAGCCACCCGTCCACAATTCCCAGGGTTGCTCGACGTTGCTTCTCATCCAACGAGGGGACAGCGAACCATCGTTGTGAGGAGTTGGAGTACAAGTGCGCGTCGGGTATCGTTAGGTATGCCTCGAAAGATGTTTTCCATAGGTATTGGCATGTGATAGAGAGCGGAAAGGCTTCGTGGTCCTGCCTCTGGATCGTCAGGTTGTTTGCCACCTGTATGGTCTTGAGTCAACGCCCAAGAATGCCATAGCTCGGAGAACGATAACTTGGGCTTTTGGTGATCAGCATTGAGCAAGTACCAAGCCAACCAAGCGTATGTACGCATGGTTCCATCGTGTCTGCGCATCTCAACCCGCAAGGCAGGGATCGCGCCTATGGCTGCGTCTTCGTCTGCCGCCGTCGCGCATAAATGCATACTGTATGTGTCTCTGATCCGTCTACACGTGTCATGATCTCTCTATGCGTCGTTTTGGGACCGATAATGTGACCTCCTTCACTCGCATTCCAAGGCGTCTTCGAGGGGTGTGTAACGTATGTCACTGTGTGATGGCATGTGCTCATGGGCATGTACATCTGTATCTACTCCGTTTTGCTAAATTGATATGCAGGCTTTTTAGTGATGCGACATCGAATGAACTTTGTGGCCTCTCCGTACTGTGCTGTGCACACAAGCGCTTCTGTTCATTATAATGGCTCATATGCTCTCGACTGCCGACACCGTAGCTCAGTGTTCAAGGGGTCAGTCGGGCTGATATTTCGACTGGTTGATGGCCTTTTATCCTGTTCTCGTCGCTGACTGTCCTTGGTGCTCCCCCAAATCCTCTCTTTTCTTCTGCTTTTCCCTCACTACATACGACTCTGCTTGCGCGTACATGGCACAAATTGCGAACGTAGCATAAACTTTCCCAAACCATCGTCACGATGAGTGGGAAAAGTTACGACGGCAAGGCTGCAGACAAGTCGGTCACCGTTTCCGATACAGAGCACGGTGAGCACGACGAAGTGGCCTTTTTGGCACCGCAATTTGAGGCGGAAGACCCATCATCCCACCAAGATGGCTCCGAGTCAGATGAGCCACCAGGGTCTACTCCAGATGCCGCATCCTCTCGCGTCTCATTTCAGACACCACCATCTTCAGTAGAAATTCTATCTCCTCAGCCATCACCTCATGTGCCCAGCAAAAATCTTATGACAGCTGCAGTAGAAGATTGGGAAGAGGACGACACCCGCGACGATGCCGAGCTCACTCCGCCATTCTGTATTACCACACCTTCTGCAGTTGAGGCAGCACTCAGCCCAAGCGCACAAGAAAAGACCGTCATAACTGCCAAACCAGAGACATGCACGCAAGACCAGAGGAAAGAGCCACATGGACGGAAGGCCGAGCCCTCAGCCATACCTATCCCACAGAGTGCTCAGCAGAACACGTCGAGGCGTCGGCCAAGTGTCATGGATTACCTGGTCTCACAGGGCCCTGTCAAGTATCCGGCGTCGGCGTCGGGAGCAAGTAGCTCTACATCTCGCAGAGTAGCTTCAGATAGCCAATGCTGGCAGAACAACGATCAACCGCCAACTCAATGGGGGCAGCCTCAGCCAGCTCAATGGGGGCAGCCTCAGCCAACTCAAGGGAGACAACCTCAACCACCTCAATGGGGACAACCTCATCCACTTCAACGGGGTCAGCCTCGCCCAACTCAATGGGGACAACCTCTCCCTCTTGGCTATCAAGGGGAAGATAGGAAGCAACAGTCCGGATGGACTGCTCAACAACCCTCTCTTGCGTCGGTCGACACATCCGTGAATGATCACGAGGATCGTGGCTCAGAGGCATCATACATGACGGGCTTCGGTCAACCCTGGGAGCAGAATTGCCTGCCTGCATTCTCTTCAAATTCCAGCATGTCAAACAATGACAGTTTCTCAGAGATATACCCAAGTCAAGGTTATCCTGATCTTGCTAGCCGTCTGGACAACATGGCGCCCAGCGGGTATCATCTCCTGGCCACGAAACTTTCAGGTGATTCATGTGGCCAACCCATCGCACCGATCTACCGTAAATTCGATGCTCTGACTCATCGCTTGTTACTGTACATGCAGGATGAGATTTCAGATTTAGAACGCCAGCTCATCTCTTTAGAGGCCAAGGACACGGCAAGGAGAAGCTATGCAGGCGGCGTCGTACCAGCGTCCCAACGGCATGATCGCTGGACTAACAGCAACCTGGCCCACCAAAGGACAGAGATTCTCGGCCTCATTGGCTATAAATTGAGTCAATACAGTAAGCAAGCTATTGAAATATCACGAAACACTTGTCCTCTTTGGATCGCAGAGCTGACAATGTGACAGACAATGTTCTTGAGTCATTCTGCAAAGTACAGAACATTCCAGCACCGACGTGGCGAGACATTCACTTGTACAAATCTTACCTTGCCACGAGCAAGCTGATTGTAGATGACGAATCACGGTTTCTGGATGCGTCAAGCGACCTCATCTCGCTGAACACGCAAGGCCTGCCTGCAGACGATTTGAACACCGCCGTCCAGGAACAAACGCCAATGCCAAAGACGGCCGAAGAAGAGCCATTCCATAGCTTTTTCAAAGATCGTCTCAGCTCACCATCTGCGGGACTTGATCATAGTATCGTACACAGGCCTGGTAATGCGCTGTTTGTGCGACTGACCCTTTCTTGTATCTGCATGGTACTTGTGCCCATCATGATCTTTTCGGTCATACCTAGCTTCGTAGGACGCATGGCAATCGTCCTCCTCATTGCACTCGGTGTCAGTATCGTCATAGAACAATTAGGTTTGCTGCATGAGGTCGAACGGCACAGAGAATGGATGGTGTATTTTGGATTATACTGTGGTGCAATGGCTGTCTTGGCCAGAGCAGTGAATTAATTGCTCAGCGTTGCTAGGAGACTACCTGGAGTACCTCACATCTTTTTTGATCTCTCTATATCTGGTACCTGGGCCTGCACAAGGTATATTATCCTGCATTTTACGCGTAATGATGGAACGAAGAGAAACAAACAGAGAGACCTAAATGTCATCTCGTTTCAATGATGACGGGGGATCAGAGATGCGCCTTTTACCATGAACGCTATTTTGGTCTCGCCAGCTTTTCTTGAATCTATTGTTCAGAGTCCAGCCACTCGTAAATGCAAGTTCTTCGTGAAAAGATGTGTAGGTGTCAGATTATCCACGTAATCTGGGAATTTTCTGAATTGTGAAGAACTTGGTGTATTGATTTCTTCTGATGTTAGGTTCTAAGTTTTTCTCAACTGGCCTCAATAATGTATCCACCTCTAAATACATAATAGTTCGTGTAACCTCAATTATGCTTGGTGATCAATCTTCAGCACCACCGTTATCCGACAGTAGGTTTGAGGTGCCAGATTACGCACACAACACGTACTTACTACTGCATCAACTTTGAAGGTGACTGTCACTAGGTACCTAGAGGTGATATCATATATGAGGTACGTAGGTACATATGTAGTCGACTCAACAGATTTTCTTGATTTACATCATATAACTTAATAGTGCGTTTGAGGAGAACCAGGGCGAATGGTTTAGTGGTATAATACTCCCTTAGCATGATTTAGAATATGGGAGTGGTCCAGGGTTCGATTCCCTGTTCGTCCATCTTTTTGCATCATGATCCATAACGTCATCGACCGAGCTTTTTTGCGGTTGACGCCGTAGGACTTTGACGACGATAACTACGCCGCGCGGGAAGTTGTCACGACTCACGAGGCGAAAGACCGCGCGCAGACATTAAAACGGGCTCGTTTGCTTCGGGCGGACGTGACTGGATGGGAGGCGGGTAGAGGAGTAGCAGCAACATACATATTGAGGGCCAAATTGCGACCGACCCGGCGGTCGAACTCGCACCTAACTTCAACTCGACTGGGAAATAGTACACCTCCATCGTTCTCTGTTTAAACACACGAGTCCTCCACCCTCATTCAGATGCGCACGCAAAAAATAGGCTTGCGTTCCTAAGCACACTCGCCGGGGTGGTTCCCAAGGACCAGGAACGGCCCCTTACGGCGATGGACGCCCACGAAGCTTCTCCAATGGAGCGGGTTCGGAAGGCCTTCTGGACTACGCTTTCGATTAACTTGTCCAGGTTTTCAATGGTAATGGGGTCGGGTGTGTCGAGCTGTACTTCGACGACCGTGTTGACGCGCGTTGCTTCCGCGTCCAGCATGCTTCGGCAGACCTTCAGGATTCCACACGCTCTTCAGCGCTGGAGGCGAGACCAAACCTGCAATTTCATCGAAATCGGCCTCGAGATAATTCGGCACTCGTTCCCCGTGCCTTGGCCGCCTCCGGCTCGACTGATTCTACGTTGATGCTGCCAAGCCTCGTGAGAGTGAGGTGGCGCTCTGAGTCGATATTCATTGGAGGGCCCCATCTACCGCCTCAGCGCTCTAGGCATCATGCGCCATTGGGAAAGGGGGTGATTGAGTGCTCATTGCTGAAGAGGTTGGTTCTTATAATGTGCCTCATTGCCTGTCTTGCATGCCACGTGCTGCCGCTCATTTCTTTGACCAATCTTGCGACGCTTCATAAGTTAAAAGGTATGATCTCTCTTCCTGAACAATAGGCCATAACATATTTTTACTGGAGAACGTCGTATCTCAAGTGGGGCGAATGGTTTAGTGGTATAATACTCCCTTAGCATGTATAATCGTCTGGGAGTGGTCCAGGGTTCGATTCCCTGTTCGTCCAACTCGTTTTGCATCTTGACCTACTTTTTTTGAATGCCGCACCCATGTTCTCTATCTTTTGTTTGCAGATGTCAAAGTTTGAATTTGTTGTTATGTATTATACCTATACTAGCAGGCTGGCCTGAGCTCTCAGCTTGCATGAACCTATTGCAAGCGTGAACAAATGGTCTTTGCGTTGGCCGCCTCTTTTTTCTATACCACCCTAGAGCCAAAGACGTTGGCGACGTGAAGAGGGGACGTGGACAAAGCTATTCGCCTTTGATGTAAGTATGTATGGGAATTCTATTGACATCTCGTTATTTCTTGTCACTTTGTTTTTTTGCACGGCTGCAACAATAAACCTTTGATGCGCCAAGATGGCTTGATCAGAACTGAGGTCGCATCCATATATGGTCCTGGCGGGCGATTCAATTTCATCACCCCTTGTATCTTACAGGTTGGATGAAGTTGAACCGCCCGCCGGCTTTGCTTCAAACTTCATTCTTTTCCTGGACCAACATTATTACTTCGATGGATATCTCAATCCACCATTAGATTTTGACTTCACCAAATACCACTCCAGTACTTGGCTATGTATCCTGTTTACTCCTTAACACACCTACTTGCCGTTGATGTACATACTTGTAATTAATATGTATACATATGTATTCCGTATGATTAAGAAGAGGTATGTAATGTACTCCGTAACTCGGGCGGCATGTAGCTGGGTACCACATGTGTCTAGGACCCTAGGTACAATGTAGGTACCGAGGAGGTACTCAGTACATTCGACGGATGGCGGGGCAGCACATCTTGGCGTGAAATTCTGAAGGGGACTTCGCAGACGTGAGGTGTGACTCAAGTGACCTGATCCCACCCAACTGCCCGAACAAGAACCATCACACCAACAATCCCTCGCCGCTGGCACCTCACAGGGCTTTGTCCGAAGTATACGACTTCAATTCATCATGGCAGCACAGACCAGCAGTCCCACAGGGGATCTTGCTCACCAGATCCTCCATGCGCTGGACAAGAAATCACCCCTCCTTTCCACCGAAGCTTTCCCCGCGATACCTTCTACCGAAGTCAAGGGCGCTCTCGACAGACTTGCTTCGCGTGATATGGTCAAATACGAGACCATTGACCGTGAAGAAGCTCTCCTGGAACCTGAAGGCGAGCAGATTGCCACCAATGGCAGCCACGAGGCTCGCGTCTTTGAGGCCCTGCGTGCTGCTGTCGAGGGTTTGACCATACAAGAGCTCGAGAAGGCCATCGGTGACAAGAATGTTGTCAAGATTGGTCAAGGCAGAGCTTTCAGGGAGAAATGGATCTCAAAATCCCAAGGTGAGACTTCCTGCCTATCTGCTGTAGCATTCATAGTAGAGATAGTAGCTAATGTGACTGATGTCGCAGATGGGAAATTCAAAGCGGCCGTGAGTAGATCCGCATATAAGACAAGAATTCGCGTAGTTTGGATAGAGGATGGTGGCTGACGTCGAAGACGCTCAATAGAAAGAATCTGTCCAAGACACGACCCAACAGCAGATGCAGACGATTCAGTCGACGCGATCATGTCCCGACGCCAAAATGCTGGCCGATCTGAAGAAGCGCAAGCTTGTTCGAACCCAGAAAATCATCAGTTTCAAAATCGAGAAGGCTGACAAGTTCGCTCTCAAAATACCCGAAGTCGCCACCGACTTGACCGCCGACATGATTGCTAGTGGTTCATGGAAGACTGCCAATTTCAAGGGATATAACTTCAAAGCTTTAGGTGCAGATCAACACTCTGGCGCTTTGCATCCTCTAAGCAAGGTTCGATCCGAGTTGAGGCAGATCTTCTTTGAGATGGGCTTCCAGGAGATGCCTACAGACAAGTAAGTTGTGGCCATGTTGCTTTTTTTTTTTTTTTTTTTTTTTTTTTTGGCTACGCCGCTTGTTGGTTGCTAACATGGTGTCAGGTTCGTCGAATCTGGCTTCTGGAACTTTGATGCGCTTTTTGTGCCGCAACAACATCCCGCCCGTGATATGCAAGACACTGTACGTACTGCAGTACTTGATTGGCAATTGCGAAGTGACCCCCAAAGAGGCTGACCATAGGTGCTTGCAGTTCTATGTCTCTGACCCCAAGGAGGCCGATATGCCCCGAGCAGAGGATGGCAATGACAAAGGTGACTACAAGGCTTATTGGGACAACGTGCAGGAGGTCCACCAGGTATGCCAAGACAAGATATGGACCCAATACTTGCACGGAGAACCTTTTGATTGATTCATGACTCAGGAAGGCAAATATGGATCGATAGGGTATCGATACCCTTGGTCTGGAGAAGAGACTCGAAAGCTGGTGCTACGGACGCATACCACTGCCATTAGTGCCAACATGCTGTATAGACTGGCCCAGCAAAAAGGCCCTGACGGCCGCCCACCCCCCGCTCGATACTTTTCCATCGATCGTGTGTTCCGTAACGAGACTGTAGACGCCACTCACTTGGCAGAGTTTCATCAGGTCGAAGGTGTCATTGCTGATTATGACCTGACTTTGGGTGGTCTCATGGAGGTAGGATTTCAAAATACACTGCCTTGCCTAGGCTAGACGCGTAGGAACAACATCACTGACGGCAGCAGTTTATGGACATTTTCTTCGGCAAGATGGGCATCACCGATCTCAAATACAAGTGTGCCTACAACCCTTGTAAGTGGCCCACATTGCGACCTCTTTTTTTCGTGATGACGTCGACTAACGTGAGCAATAGACACGGAACCGAGCATGGAAATCTTCTCTTATCGCAAGTCTCTCCTTTCTGCCGGCCCGGAAACAATCGCTAACACCGTGACAGACAAGGGTCTTGGAAAGCTAGTCGAAATCGGCAACAGCGGCATGTTCCGACCTGAAATGCTGGAATCTATGGGCCTTCCGTAAGTCATGATCAAGCCTTGACTTCCATTTTCCCAAAGTTGTCGATGCTGATTACCTGTGTAGCAAGGACATGCGAGTCTTCGGCTGGGGTCTGTCTCTTGAACGACCCACCATGATCAAATATGGCATTTCTAATATTCGCGAATTGCTGGGTCACAAAGTCGATCTGAACTTCATGCGAAACAGCCCTGCAGTGCGTTTGGACAAAGAATAAGCGTCGCCAATCAATGTAAAATACAAGGAAACCCCCCAAAAAATATACAAATCAGGACGTTGAAGAGAGAGAGAGCGGCTTTCCTAGATGCGACGGAAGTCGGTAGACGGTAGAATACCATGTGTTGAGGCGGATGGGGAGTATCACGATTCACGACTGGTGGAGGTGATGTATTGGATGTCCTGTGCCGTAGTCGCATTGAGGGACACTTGCGAGGCACTCTTCATGTATTCATGCATTCGTCAAGCTGTTTCGAACTTGGAGCATGTGGGCGGCTGGGAATAGAAGAAGATGAGGCAGCACCACCTGTCTAGCAAAAGAGAAGGCTTTGATGCACGGAACTTGTATACACTGAGTCGCATTTGGTTCGTCGAAGGGGCGCAAGCTATCGAGAAAGCCCTTGGCTCGTTTGTCTACCTCTTTGAGGCATTGTGCGCGACGCAAAGTACGCTCGTTAGGGGCACCTTCAGCACTGAACAGTGAAAAGGACACACATACGGAGGACTGTACCCTCCTATTTTCCTAAGACGACATGGTCGAAGAGCTGGGCGCGGCATGATATGTAACGCTTTATGCGACCCACGAGTCACGACCAGCCAAAAGAGATAGACTTGAGAACATGAAAGAATAAGATGCCTGAGAACCGACGACTTGCATAAAAAAATAGTCACATACAACAACCGGTGTTCGCTGGTCGTCACCGACCCAACTACTGATCTGTCGGTTGGCTGCTTATCTATGGGAGAGCGGACGGGATCCCGAGTTTTCTGCCACCTATGGTCGTATGTACTCTGGCAAGAGAAAAATTACGTATATGTACAATGTGTTCTATTGGCAAATCCTTCCATGATCCAAACCTCCGCATAAGTTAACTATGCTAAGGGGCTCTGCTTCAAAATTCATCCTCCCCTTGTGCTGCCCTCCACCGTCAGAAGCCGACCATGTCTCAGACCGGAGCCAATGGATGGAACACGGACGTGGCACAATGGCCTTGTCGTCTTGAGGCAAACACACTCCGTCACCCAGTCGAAGATGATTGCATTCCCAAGTCCGCCTCAGGGCGTGGAAAGGGCAAGCTTCCCTTGTCTGCGGCGTGATGACTTCAGCCCGTCTGGTCGGTTGGCCCATGAGTTTGTGGTTTAATATTGAAGTACAACAACGGCATAAAGAGAGGCTTTCTCGGCGGTTTCGTCTTGTCTGCAAACTGCGGCCACCCGCATGAATAAATCATCTCAGCTCAGCATCGACGGCTCACCTTTCTTGCATTGCGTCGTTCTCCTACCGTTGCTGAGCCTCACTAAACCTGTTTCGCTTGAGGAAACGAAGAGTACTTGAATCAAGTATTGTTTTTCTCTTTTGGTCTTAGGAAAGGCACCAGTCTTCCCCCTGTCGTCTGACAGCTGTGAAGCAGTCTATTGAGCAGCTGCTCTCCTTTGCTTTGTTGGTCATGATTGTTGACATTGTTCCGCGTTCCATGTGAATCCTCTTCTGAGCAGGCAGTGAGAAGGCTATTTATTTCCTCCCTCCACGCTGAACTAGTTCCTGCCATCACTTCTTTTCCCCTCCCTTGACTGACTGACTGAATCTCCCTTTGCCCCACGACAGATTTATAGTCTGCTCACAGCAAACCAAGGTACGTTGAATGGGGTTTCAAAGAGTACTACGAGAGAAACTACGCCCGACTATTGGGCTTTACGGTTCCAGCTACAGTGAAGTTATTCATCTCTCGATTTGAATTGCATTCTTGTTTGGATCCCTCAAATCGATCTTTCCCCGGGTTGAGCTTTCACTCTCCTGTACTTTCGTTCCAGGCATTCTCTGCCCTTAGGCGATACCACACCAGATGCCCTTTGGTTCATCTCATTTATCTTCCCAAGAATTTCTTGTTTTTTGT